CTACTTCAGACACTTGCGTTGGGTCCGATGGAATTTGCTTCACCCCTGGATTTCCAGTAAACTGTCCCAAAGCAGGCGTTTTGTCTACTTTTCCCCATGTGGCTGTCCCCGCAATGTTGCTACCCGCACATTCGTCAGAGCTACGGTCACTTTCACTTTCACTGTCTGTGGTCACAATTTTTTGTTCGCCCCTGCCACACAATCAGATTGTGAGTCGCTATCACTAGCAGACTCACAAGGGACGTCAGATAGCTCATCAGAGAAGAAGTCAGATATTTCTTGTTCTCCAAGAAATCGCTTGGGGGTCAACCGCTTTGGTCTTTGATCCATACTGAACTACTGACTGACAGCTTGCTACGTAAAGCTTGAAGAAATAAAGGCATTTATTTTCCTTTGCAGGGGGCATAGAGTTACAGCGAGGTCTAGTAACTGTATGGTCAGCAGACATTCCAGAGCCTTATAACGCAGCTGCAAGCAGCTACGTGCTAGCTAGGTGGAGCCAGAGAGATGTATAGTGTGTTGCAACTTATCGTGTTTTAAAAACCTGTTAACATGCGAACGGTCTGCCATGTTTAAAAGCGAAAAACCTTTTAAAGGGTGCGTGGTCCGCAAAGTGTTAAGATCATAGTCTTTGACATGTGACACAAAGTAGTTTGGAAGATTGGTGCCAAAGTTTCAGAAGAACCTGCTGCCTCCATCTTCAGAGTAGAAATGTTATTCCTGTATCATGAAGATCTAGAGTTTCCACTGAAACAGTTAAAATACGTCTACCAAATTACATATCACATCCCAGATGACTGTGTTCTTAATATTCACCATCATGAGAACTTTAAATCTCACTGAGGAGGTAGATAATATGCAAGACTGGACTGATTTCTTAGGATCTGTTGAAGCGTTTTCACACATCTTGCATCCTATCTCATAATACAACATGAAAATACATACTGATGTCCCTTGTAATATGGTTCACATGTGAAACGCAGATAGAAAGGGGTGTTTCCAGTTTCATATCCAAGGCGCATGTAATTCTGTCTTTGCCCCGAACCCTTGTTACCAGCACCATGTTTGTCACCTCCATGTTGTGCTCGGCCTCTGGTTGGCTAAACAGAAAAGAAAGTATATCTTCAGATATTAGTAACTGATTTCTTGCAATTAAGTGGAACAGTCTGTCTAAATCTAAATAAAAGAATCTTTACACAAATTTTAGCCTCTTGAGTGTCAGAGTTTATATTAAATTTGTGTTAGAAATTTTCCAGAATTAATCTATTTTGCTACCCTATATATATAATAATGGGGCACACGGTAGCATAGTTGGTTGAGGCACTATGCTACAAGCCAGAAGGTCGCGGGTTCAAGTCCTGATGAGGTCACTGGATTTTTTTTTTTCAATTGACCTAATCCTTCCAGTTGCACTATGGCCCTGGGGCCGACTCATACTCTAATAGAATCCGCTGAAATCACGCCTCCTAAAGAGGTTACCACCGCCACCTGCAACTTCTTTGCCCCCCTGAAAACATCATTGGAGACTGACAGCACTAGTGCAGAGGCTGCCACACTCGAGGAGGAAGTCTCTGGCAAAGCAGGTAGGCCGCCTCCAGTAAGACTGACATCATCCATGAATCTCATACAGTTGCAAGAGAAGCTGAAAAATGTGGTCAAGGACGACTTCGAGTTCCATAGCACAAGAAACAGAACCAGAGTCGTTACAAAAGACATGGCAGATTTCGAAGCCATCAAGTCACATTTCACCAACAATAACCTAGCCTATTATTCCTTCTTCCCCAAATCCCAGAAGCCTGTTAAGTCAGTAATCTGACACCTCCCCATCAATACCCCTGCAGAGGACATTTCAGAAGGTCTGGAAAACCTGGGTTTCGATGTTGTTAGCGTCAAACAAATGACGACAACCCGTCGATCCCAATCTGAAGAAGCAATAACCAGGGACCTTCCCTTGTTCCTGATAACCTTGCCGCGGACGGCAAAATCACAGGAAATATTCAATCTGCCAAGCCTTTGCCACATATCAATCAAGGTGGAGATGTATAGAGCTCAGACTGGACTTACGCAATGTCATAACTGTCAACAGTTTGGCCACATCTGGACTAACTGTAAACAACCTCCAAGCTGTTTGTGGTGCGGAGGCAGCCACCTGCATAAGGAATGCCCAGAGAAGGGAAAATCTGCTTCCACCCCAACATGCTACAACTGCCAGTTGGCAGAGGGAGACAAGCCACGTCCCACAAACTATCGGGGTTGCAGACATGCCAGGGAAGAGCTTCAAAAAAGGAAGGTGAAGTGAATGCCAAAAACTGCTACGGAGAGGGTGTTCTCATCGAACCTCGTCACCCCAGGCATGTCCTTCATGGCGGAACTATGAGGAAACGCAGAACAACAGCGACCACAGGCAAACCACGCTCCAATGGCTTGCCCTACAGTAACAAAACAACAAAATGTACCAGCCCCTGCACTGCAGAAAGATACAGGTCAGTCAGTTCAGGCTCCTCATGCAAATAGTCAACCTCTCTACAATATGTTGAGAGTTGTGACTGCAGTACAGCAGATCATGACAGAGATCAATGGTGCAGTGTCTGAAGAGGACAAAATAATGGCCATTACAAAAATTGTATTAAATCTCATGAAACAAAATGGCCACTAGAGTTCATAGGCCACTCAAAATCATAGCATATAATGCGAACGGCATTGGGAGGCAGCGCTATAAGCTCAGTAAACAGCTGCAAGACCTACACGTAGATGTGGCCCTGTTTTCAGAGACACATCTGAAACCTCATGAGAGGTTCTTTATTCCAAATTACCACTTTTATAGAATCGACCGCCACTCGGGCAGAAAGGGCGGAACTGCCATTGCAGTAAGAAAAGGCATTCCCCATAACCATGTAGACCTACCACCCCTTGTTTCAGTAGAAGCGACAGGGGTCACATACCAATTGGTAACAGCGAAGTACTGCTTGCAGCTGTTTATAAATCTCCAGGCAGAGCCTGGAGTGATGCTAACATCACTGAGCTCTTAAGCTTCAGACGTAAGTCTATTTTGGCAGGTGATTTAAATGCTAAGAACTCGTTTTGGAATAGAGTTTCAAACCCCTCAGGCCTGAAACTTATGGATTTATTTGATATGAGTGATTTTGAAATCCCAGCACCACAGTGCCCCCAATCATTATTCCCCTGCGGGAAATGGTGACATATTAGACATTGTGGTTCACCAAAATATCAGAGTGTCAGATGTCATCGTCTCTGATATTTTGGACTCAGATCACCTACCAATAGTATTCCACATACTGGATCACGTTTAAAATTAGGAATCTTTCGGAACCCATTGAAAAATTTACAGATTGGGAGCAGTTTCAAAGCCTCACTTCTGAATTAATATCACCTAAACTAGAAATTAATTCGGGGGTAGAAGCCGATAAAGTGGCACACAACTTTGCAGCCTCTATTGCTTCGGCATATAGGTTGTCGACAAGTAAAATTACACTTTCGGACATAAACAACGATCTTCCTTGTCTAGGTCACCTGTTAAAACATAAGCATAGGCTACGAAAATTGTGGCAAGAAACCAGGAATCCAGCGTGTAAGATGGCACTAAATTGAGTCACAAAATCAATCAGGCGAATGACCCGAAAAAAGGCACTTGAACGGTGGGAAACAAAAATAGGTAATGCTGAAGTCACACCTCAGGGTATATGGCCAATTGCGAAATCCCTCCTAAAGAGGGATGGACCAAGGGCACCAACAGCTATTCATGGTGCTGCAGGCATTAAGTTTCACCCATTCGAAAAAGCCAGTGCAACTGCTGATTGTTTGGAAAATCAGTACACGCCGCACAATCTGTTTGACGATAACCATGAACGGCGAGTGGAGGCTAGAGTTCAAGCTCTGTTCAAAACCACAGACAACAAACCCCCTCAAAGGATCAGACCATGTGACATACAAAAATTGATAAATTCCTTGAAACTGAGAAAGGCCTGTGGAATTGACAGTATCCCAAATGAATGTCTGAGGCAACTTCCAAGGCGACCATTGGTTCACCTAACTCGTTTATTTAATCGCTGTCTTCAGCTCTCTCATTTTCCAAATACTTGGAAGGAAGCAAAAGTAATAACCTTACCTAAATCCGGTAAGGACCTGAAATTCCCGCAAAATTTACGTCCGATCAGCCTCCTGTCCACGACAGGAAAGCTATTCGAAAAAGTAATTTTGAAATTCCTCCGTAAACATATTGAAGAAAGAGGCCTGCTCGACGCAAGCCAGTTTGGTTTCCGTGCATGTCACAGCAAGACATTGCAATGTAAGAGGCTGGCGGACCACATGACCCTTAATTTCAACAACAAAATGTCTACAGCCGCGGTGTTCTTGGACATCAAAAAAGCCTTTAATACCACATGGCATTCATACTTGCTGTATAAGTTAACAAAATTGGAATTCTCAAACAGTTTGACCAAACTTATTGGGTCCTTTCTTTCTAAACGTAAATTCATGGTTTTGGTTGAAGGCCAAATGTGAACCCCAAGGGAAATGCAAGCAAGGGTGCCACAAGGTTCAGTCCTTTCCCCTACCCTTTTCAATTTGTACATAAATGATGCCCCCGAAACACATGGTGTTCACATGGCCCTCTTTGCGGACAACACCTGTCTGTATATGACAGATCGCAAGGAGGGTTTTATTGTTAGAAAACTCTAGAGCGGTCTCAGCTCAATGGAGACCTGGTGTGAGCGCTGGAATATTAAAATTAATGAAGATAAGACTCAGGGGGTCTACTTCTCTCGTGGTCGTCAACCACCTAAGTCTTGTCTCACTCTAAATGAACGAAATGTTCCATTTGTAAATAGTGCAAAATATCAAGGCGCAATCTTCGATAAGAGAGTTACATGGAGATTGCACATAGAAATGATTGAAGCCAAGGCCTTCAGAACATTCATTAGGGTATATTCTCTATTCAAAAGTGAGCGATTGAGCGCTAACATTAAACTGACCCTCCACAAAGCTCTCATTAGATCCGTAATGACTTATGCTAGTCCTGCCTGGGAATTCACGGCAGACACTCATCTAGTGAAATTGCAGCACCTGCAAAACAAAGTTCTCTGCACCATTGGAAATTTTCCAAGGCGCACACCGGTCCGCGACTTGCACATGGCATTTAAAATCCTGTACATATGACTAACAAAATTATGCAGGAAACAAGCAGAAGTCATACAAAACCATGAAAATGAAAATGTTCGCAACATCGGACAAGGCGAAGAACGACACAGAAAGTATAAGAGGCTTAAACTTGACGGCGGTCAGGCATACTACCGTTCAAGTGACTAGACTGCCATGGTATCGAATACTGGTAGAAATAGGGGAAAATCTGCTGTACTGAGCCTGGATTGACAGAGACCTTGTATATATTGTACATAGAAATAGGAATTAAGATTAAATTTGTAAATATATGTAAATACTATGACTGACAAATGAGAGACCCGACCTCTCGTCAGGGAGGGCGCCTCAAATGAACAGGACAGTAACTTTCGTACAAGAAAAAAGAAAAAAAAAATTCTGGTCATGAGCCCCAGCTCATGACCAGAATTTCAGTTCAGTGTTCAACTCCTTGAACACTGAACTAGAATTGTAGAACTGTAACTGTAAACTTCCAAGTCCAAGTCACATTGCGACTGACAGTCTGTCAGTCTGTCTGCCTTGGTGTCAAGCCCCGGCTGGGGCTCATGACCAGATTTTTTTTTCTTTTTTCTTATATGAAAGTTACTGTCCTGTTCACTTGAGGGCACCCCAAATGAACAGGACAGTAACTTTCATACAAGAAAAAAAAAATCGGGTCATGAGCCCCAGCCAGAGCTCGACACCAAGACAGACAGACTGACAGACCATCAGTTGCAATGTGACTTGGACTTGGAAGTTTATAGTTACAATTCTACAATTCTAGATCAGTGTTCAAGGAGTTCACTATTGTTCTTCAATTCTTCAAACTCAAATTTGTCTGTGTATATTGTGCAACTGTAATAAATATTATAGAACAGTTTGACAAGTGGTTGTCTCTTCATATAATGACATCCCACACTTATTTTACTTATATATATACACACACACACACACACACACACACAAGGGTTGTACTGAAAGTCATGAGCAACAATTTTTTGTGAAGTAACATGCTTTATTATTGACAAACCAAATACACCATCTCAATCTACAGACCTTTCTTTATTTTTCCACATAATCGCCACTTCTTTGTACACATTTCTCCCAGCATTGTGGGAGTTTGAAAATTCCCCTTCTGTAAAATTCCGTTCCAGCCACCCGAAGACACTGACACACTGCTTTCTGAATTGCCTCCCTCATCTCAAAACGTCCACACAGCTGATCCTTCACAAATCCGAAAAGATAGTAGTCGGAGGGTGCCAGATCAGGGCTATAGGAGGGGTGTGGAAGAACTTCCCACCCCATCTTTGCAATTACTTCCAATGTGAGGTGAGCAGCGTGGGGGTGAGCACTGTCATGCAGGATGATGTTTTGTCCTGGACGGTTATCGCGCAATTCACGATGGAGCTTGTGCGGCGTCTGCACAAAACGAGCAGAATTGATGGTTTGCCCAGCTTCCAGGAATTCGGCCAGAATAAACCCCTCTGCATCCCAGAAGACTGTACCCGTCACCTTCGCAGCTGATGGCACTGTCTTTGCCTTCTTTTTTGATGGAGAATGGAAATGGTGCCATTCCATACTCTGCCGTTTCGTTTCAGGCTTGAAATGGTGAAACCAGCTTTCGTCACCTGTCACAATACAGAGCAAAAAATCATCACCTTCATGTCGATACCTCTGCAGCAGTTCTGAGGTGATGGCTTTTCGCTGATCTTTGTGGTCTTCAGTCAATAACAGCGGGACCCAACGAGCACAAACTTTCCTACAGCCCAAGCTTTCAATCATCTCCTGTACTGCACTGTGCCCTATTCCAACTTTTCGGGCTATTGTGTCCACAGTCACACACCTGTCATCTTGAATGATCTCATCCACTCTTTCCTTGTTGTGTTCAGTTGAGGCTGTTCAAGGACGACCGCTCCGAGGCTCATCTTCAATGCTGGTGTTCCCATCTTTAAAATGTTTCACTCATCTTCAAACACTGCTCGCACCTGTGCACACACTTCCATAAGCACGCTGAAGTCTCTGGTAAATTTCTGCAGCAGGGATTTCCTCTTTCACAAGAAATTCGATGACAGCATGCTGGCGAAACGACATATCGTTGTCGGCCACTTTGTTAGGAATGATACTGGTCACGTGATGCAAGCTATTGACGTCACAAGACACTCAAGGTTAACACAACAGCTGTTTCCACCTACCACCGTACTCTCTTTTGTCTGCTGTTCCCAGGTTGCATGCAAAAAAAGTTGCCCATGACTTTCGGTACTTCTTACATACTATCAAGGTCACAAAGCATCAGATGGACTCTGTTGATAATTACACATTACAATGAAAACAACAACTTTACTCTCCTTTAAAGAAAAACAGATAAGTAACTCTTGTAAATTTGAACCTGAGCTTTAAGATCTTGTGTTGTGCACCATTTTCAATAGAAATGAAGTGAAAGACCTATAAAGTGTCTGCCAAATTTCAGGTAAAACATTTTTGTAATCTCTGCATAAGAATATACTGCAGTCGCCTAACTTTACGCAAGGGAGAAAATGTGTTGTACAATGTAGTAATAAGTTGGCTGGGGCATAAATTTGCTATTTTAAACGTTCTTTTAGAATCTATAAGAAAAAGAAAGATTTGCAGTGAAACTGGTGTCTCAAATATACAAAGGTAACACTTGAATAATTGGCAACAGAGGTTTAATCATTACTAATATTTTTTCATGTTGTAAGGAGGTTACCTTTTTAGCTCATTTCCAAAAAAAAGTTTTAAAATGTATATAAAATCAGTATTTTATCTCCTGTTTCAAATGATCATGAATCCTGGTCTAGAGACAGAATGGCTTTTGAAGGATTTGAAAACAAAGTGCTGAAAAAGGAATTTGGGCCTAGTCTTTATAAATTGTAGGAGTCAGGTGGGACTGTCCCTTGCTACTACATCCTCAAATGGGCCTACGATACCAGCCTTAATTATAGTAGAGTGCTGGTGTAATGATTACTGGTAAGGGAAAACTGAAGTACCCCAAGAATAACCTGTCCCAGCGGCATTCTTTCGATCACAAATCCCACATGGAATATACTGGGGCTAAACTCTAGTCCCCATAGCGAGAAGCCGGTAAATAACTGCCTCAGCTATGGCACAGTCGACATTTGAACCTGGGAAAATCACTCAATTTAATGAGGACGACTTGTCGTTTATACTTTTAATCATCACAAATTAGTTTCAACATTTTCCTCTTCCGCTGCATTTCTATACTCATTTCTCATATACTATACTATACTACACTCATATGCACTCATTTATATACATTACCCTGATTCGTGTTCCCGGATTTCTTCGGATATTACCCAAACAAACACGAGGAAGTGTTCTTAACATGGCAAAGGCCTTGTCCGCACCCTTCTTTCCCGAGAAACTCATTATACTTATATTCTTTTACAATCAGTCCTCCCTATTTATAATTCGAGTAACGAATCATAAAACCACATTACATTCGTATTCTAATCCAATACAACACCCGGAAGCATATTATGACAAACTTTAATTTCCGCTTCGTTGACAGTGGAACCAACTATGTTTCGAAAAACACGTTCCTAGGAAATTAAGCTTCCCGCTGGGAACTTGGTTAACCCTTCGACCCTGAAGATGGAGGCAGTATGTTCCTCCGAAACGTCGGTGAATACACCCGACTATATGGGGCTACATCCCTCTTCGTATTCACCGCTGTGAGAACCTCCAATTTAAATCATTAAATTTTCAATCGCGTATTATGCGTATTATTGGTATTTCGGTTTTCTTTTTTTGCGGTTGAAAAACGAAGCACTCTGGAAGAAATATTAATGTTCGGAAACTCAAAGGCATACACCAGTTTGGTTTAAATCGTGAAATCGCTGCAAATCACCAATTCAACTTTCCTTTCTCATCGTAATAATCGCTGCGATCGGCCGTGATGGCCGTACGTAACTGAAAAAACTCCACAGGGGAGAGGGGGAAGAGTGTGTTTACGGTTGTAACAGGAGCTCGAGAATGGCAGTAAGTCAGTTGAGTCAAAAGGATTATTTGAAGAAATATTTCTCATCTAATGCAGAAGATAAAAGGAAGAGGAAGAAAAAGAAACTTTCGAAAACAACACATGAAAGGTAATATATGTATTTTTAATTTCTTGTAAGTTTTGGTTGGTTTGTCTATATAGTGAGGTTATGTTACAGAAGAGAAGTTTTGGAGAATACCACATCTTTTGGAATGTGATGTGTAATCATCGCCGCCGTGTACATCCCTGATCCGTCTCTCATAAGTGTAAAATGCGCGGTATTGAAATTCTTACAGCAGTCAGTAATACTGTGCAGTTGAATTGGACGCCGCGTAATGTGGTGTATGCGTGCTGTGGTTTCGGAGGAGCATCCTGTCTCCATATATTTTGAAGAAGGAGGCAGAAGATTGGTATTTATTCGCCAAAGTACATAGAATCACAACCCAGAAGACCATAATTTTCGTTTGAAATATTAGACCAATGCATCAAATAATGAGAGTAACATTACAGTAAACAACAGTTACTTAGGATATATGTGAACGTGTTCCTTCCCAGCTGCATGTACATACAGGGTTTGAACAAAATAATGGAAACACTATGTATACTGTACACATTTCTTTATTAATATGGTTTTGGACTATCTTTGCCTTCATTACAGTTTCAATCCATGGAATGGATTCATACAAATTCTAAACAGTGTGTAGTGGAATATTATACCATTCTTGAAAAACATGTTCAGATTGCTGTAGAGATGCTGTAGGTGGGGATGTGTTTCTCACCTTTGTCTCCAGACTGACCAAAGTGGTTCGGTGTTGTTCAAATCTGGTGATTGTGCTTGCCAGGGAAGATGTTGAAGTTCACCTTCACCTTCCTGCTCTTCAAACCATGACTGAACAGTTCCAGCTGTATGAATGGGGGAATTGAGGTATTGGAAAACAGTGTTGTTATTCAGAAATAACATGTGGATTATGGGGCGCACCTGATTACCCAACTTCTCCACATATTCCCTTGCAGTAATTCTGCCACGAAGGGTAATAATGGGACTAATGGAATACCACAATATCGCTACCCAAATCATCACAACACCTCTCCAGTGTTTCGCTGTTGGGACCAGACATTCCAGATTGTAGGCTTCCATGGATGTTCTCCAGACGTAAAGTCTTCCTGATATAGGGAAGAATGTGAGGAGGACTCATTTGACCATATCACGTGCATGTTTCCAGTTTTTTGATGTGGTCGTGACACCATCATTTACATATCTGAGCATTACTTTCAGTAATCAGAGGTTTAGGAATTGAAGCCCTACCATGGATGTTGGTTTTGTGAAGCTCACGTCAGACAGTGTTTGTGGAAACTGGGTCTTGAAGGTGAATATACAGTTCTGCTGTCACCTGTGTTGCAGTAGTTCTGTCATCTTTGGATACATTCCTTCTCATTATATGACATTGTCTTTCCTGTCAATATTGATTTTGCCCACTGTTCCTCTTCACTGATGTTGCCTTCCCATGGTCTGTATATGCTGCTGTAACCTTACCAACTGTAGCTCTCAGTACTCCTAGTAATGTATCAGTTTTTATCACAGATTCTCCACCTAAATGAGCACCAACCATCTGGCCTCTTTCAAAAGTGTACAAGTCTCCTATTTTCATGTTCTTTCACATGGACTGTCACTCAGCACAATTAGCAATCCACTTCCACGACCACTACAAAATGTAAACAAACTGAAGAACAATCAGTGTTGCCAAGTGAAGTTCTTCCAATGTAACCATCACATACAAATTCGGTTCCTCAGTTCTTAGTGTTCTTATTACTTTGCCCATCCCCCTGTATATGGGCCAGCCTTTAGAATGTGATGATGTGTATATAAGAGGATGTTGCTTTGAGAATATGGTGCATTTCTTTTTGTAATTCCAATTTGATCAGCAGGGGTATGCTTAGGTGGTGCAAAATTTGAATAGCGCGAAAGGTGACATATGGTTATAAATACCAAAAATTGTAAACACTTGGTTTGGGCAAAAGTTAGATTAGGCAAGATTTCATTAATGTAAGATTTGAGGCTTTCACGGCGGTGACTATGAAGAAAGCAGTCTTCTGGGACTTGGCACCATGTATAAGTGGTGTTAACCGACGTTTCGGAGGAACGTATCGCCTCCATCTTCAGGGTAGAAGAAAAATATAAGAATTCTGCAAGCGAAGAGACCGTGAGAACCGGTAAAAGCAGACTGTGTGGGAATATACACATCTGTGTGAGAGCAGTGAGGGTGAAGGGGGAAGGGCAAGTATACAAGTGAAAGCAGTAGTGTGGGAGGGGTAGGGGAAAGGGAGCTGGGACAAGCGTGGTTTTTGTGTAGGGGAGAGAAAGGCAAGGTTAAAGGCTGGGCACTAATCCGTAAGCTGAGGGGGGTGGGGGTGGTTGTTATGTTGGTTGGTCATGGCCTGTGTGGCCTTCTGGATCTGGCGTCATATCCCGGTGGGGGTTTTTTAAGAGAACAGATGAGAGGTTTCCAAGACTTGCTGAGACAAAACACCCCTCTCTGTTCATATTTCCTGGATGCAGTTCAGTTGCAGTTCAATTGACGCCAGATCCAGAAGGCCACACAGGCCATGACCAACCAACATAACAACCACCCCCACCCCCCTCAGCTTACGGATTAGTGCCCAGCCTTTAACCTTGCCTTTCTCTCCCCTACACAAAAACCACGCTTGTCCCAGCTCCCTTTCCCCTACCCCTCCCACACTANCATTAAGTTACATACATTTGTGCCTTAGTTAAGAGTTTAAGTACGGTATAAAAAAACGCCATTTCATGCCACTCATAATTTTACTGTTTCTGTTTGGCACAATAAACTTCACCAAACTTAGTTTGGTTGAAACATATGTTAGGTAAGTTTACTTTTCAGTAGGTTAGATTAGCACTTAGTTACCATTTTAGTAGTTGGTATATATAACAAATCAAAACCTGACTCAGGAGGAAATTAAGAAGAGATTGAATTTGTTAAATGCTTGCTACCATTCATTCCAGAAGCTTTTATCTTCTCGTCTGCTGTCTAGACCCATAAAAATTATTATATACAAAAGTGAATTTTTGCATGTGGTTCTGGATGGGCGTAAAACTTTGTCCCCAACATTAAGGGAGAACATAGACTGAGGGTGTTTGAGAACAGGGTGCTGAGGAGAATATTTGGACCGAAGAGAGATGAAGTGACAGGAGGCTGAAGAAAACTACATAATGAGGAGCTTCATAATTTTTACTCTTTGTCAAGTATAATTAGAATGATCAAGTGAAGGAGCATGAGATGGTCAGGGCATGTAGTATGAATGTGGGCGAAGATGAATGCATCTAGGCAGTGCTTGAGGTGGAATGAAAATAGAACCGGGATGGTTTTCCCCTTTTAATTCATAGACATAAATTATGAAAATATACCGAGTGATGTATATAGTCTGTGTTCCATCTAAGACCTATGAACATATTACAGTAGCTTAAATGGCATGCGTTAAAATAAAGTCACACATGCATTACGAGTACTTATCTTTAGAATATTTTGCAGATGTTTTCATTGCTTTCTGAAGTCACTGATCTTCTATCTGCGGGGGCTGCACAAGACTGGTAATCTGCATGTTGACGTCCTTTCTTTAGCCATTGTTTTACATAGTATTCTGCATCGAAAGCGCTAAAAGGGGGTCCCACTGATGAAATAAACATTAAACTAGATGCTGTTTTTAAAAGCATCAAGCTTCGGATGGTTGAAATAATGTTGTTCATGTTGCTGAATGCATGCTCACACTCTGCAGTTGAAATAATAATAGTATTTGCAGCTTCAATCAACGGCTTTAGTTCATCAGGATACATGTCGTCACCATTCATTATATTCATGTAATATTCATGGAATCCATGAACTGAAGTTTTCTTACACACCATAAATGACTCAGCGAGTTCCCTAATCTCTTTATCAGCAAAACATGGATCTTGACATTTTACCCACTTAGCTTTATCCATTATTTTCAAGTTGTCCCCGTTTGACCATGTTGTGTTACTACTTCCAGTCGATTCGTGTGAAGCTCTAGTGGTGAACATTCGGGTGTTTATATTGTCACTTAATTTCTGAAAGAATTGTTGTTCACTAATCTTCTGCACTTTTCCATGTTCTAAGCTAACTCCTTTAAATTCTAATTTATCAGCAGCCGTTAGAACTTCAGAATAATATTCACCCGGATTATTTGCCATGGACTGAAAGACGTGATACTTAACAAGAACTAAATGATGTGCTTCAGGCAATGTGATTTTCTTTTCTTGTAATTTTAAAGACAGGTGTTCAAGTTCTGTTAAAGCATCGAACAGAAGTCCCATATTTAGAACAAAGTTAATGTTGCTTAGTTTTCTTGTCAATCCAGAATATTGAGCTCTCTCCCTTCCCGTGCATTTTGGGTCTACAGACGCATTGTGAAAATGCTTATAAAGAGCAGGGTAATTATTCCATATGGCTCCGACAGACCGCACACTAGACGATACCCCTAACACTCATCCTATGGTATTTAATCTCATACTCAGTTGTGCAGCATCAGTTTCTAATTCAGATTTGTTCTTTGGAGATGAGCTGGAAAAGGATTAGAGTTTATCAAAAAATGATTGCATGTGGCACACTGTTGACATTTCCCGTACTGTATCATTCACCGCTATTTTTAATCGATGATTACTACAGTGCCAAACAATCAATTGATACATTTGGAGCAAAAGTTGTGCAACAGCTGCATGCCTTCCAAGTAAATTAGAGGCCCCATCACAAGCAAATGAAATCCAATTTCGTGATAAAAAGTCACGGTGAAATCCGTTACTCTTGATAATGTTGAGAAAGGTGTCCCTGATCGTTGAAGCTGTAGTATTTTCTAATTCCACTATATCAAAAAATAACTACTCGCATCCATGGAATCAGGCAGTTTGCAACGTAAACAGATTACAAGAGCTTGTTTTTTACTTCGAGTAGAAGTCTCATCGATCATGAAACCTATCTTAAGATCATTATCAATAATATATTTAACAAGTTTCTTTCTCATTTCATCTGCTATATGATCACAAATATCAGTGCACGCATGATTAGACTGCAAGATACGCCCCATAGCTAAACCATTTAGTTCTTGTAAATCAATCAAAGCTGCTAAATCTGTCATGGGACGGTTCACTTGCACCGAGCCCTTCGTCTTCCTCTCCACCGATTACTATGAATCCTTACTATTACGAAGAGGAAGGGCACAGCACAATCGTTACTGGCTCTATTGTCGGTTCCCACGCTCCCCTAGATGGAGATGGGGTATCCAAGCTAGGAGGAGGAAGCTACACTCAGTTCATTGGCTAAGATAAAACAAATACAATTTTAATAACAAAAATATAACAATACATAAATAACAAAAAAGACACATTTGACCAAGAAACAAATACAAGCTCATTTAGACTAACAATTTCCCGTCGGCACCACCTGTGTCGACGCTAGAAATATCGAGACGTTAAGCCCTCCGGCCATACAAACGCAAGTCTAAATTCTGAGACTAAAAAAAAACAAACCAAAATCTAATACGCGCGTCGCAAGCGTTCCAGCAACGGCTTGCGACCGCAGGCAGTCCTTACCGGCCAGCAGATAACACCAAAGGGAATTTAGAACAGCCCCAGCCGAAACCAATATTTTCCACCACAAACCTGCTGGCTAGTAAACAACCTTCCAAGTCGACTTGGTCTAAACGACTGCACTGTACAAGTCTCCCCTTCACAAGAGGGTACATGGGACCATGTGACTGACGTCAGGATACCGCATAGTGGGGATGGAATCCGTCACAGGAAAGATGATGACATCAACGTGAGCGAGCTAAAGCTTAGCACGGCTCACACTTTCACTATTTGATAAGCTGTCCTAAATATGCGACAAGTTGTAATGTATTGTTTTTCTTGTGTTTTAACATTCAGACATTCAATTGTTTCTTTTTTAGCAAGGCATAAAATGTCACTAGCTTTAACATGAGCTGCCGATAGTTTATGACAAGACAGTTTCTTCCTAATCGACTGTTGTTTCTTCTCTTTTGTTTCACCATATTCCTTGACCCCACCTTCACACCACTCACTAGATAATTTCAAACTTTGTGTTTTTGCAGGCCCTAGAGTTCCCACTGATTTACATGTTGTACTGCCTAGCCCTTGTTTACTAATTGTCAACCACTCGTATATTTTCAATTTTTCTAGCCATTGATCTTGTGCCCAGTAATTAGGGAAATAATTAACGTCATTTTCATGCACCTGATTTTGAGTCACGCTGTTATCTATTGCCGCTGTATTCACACATACAGTGGTTTCGTCTTCGTTGCAGTGGATGGAACTTACAATTGTTTCACTTTTACTTACAGTTGTACATGGTTCATTACTGCCACTTTCACCTAACTTGGGTTTCTTACTGCGAATTATCCATTTCTCCATTTTCACCGATAAATGAAAACTAATGCTGAACTAAAATAACATTTCGTACAGTTTCTGTCATTGAAGCAAAGATCAACCCAAGGACCCCCTGCCCACTAAAATTTCTGGCTAAATTCCCATTGGTTGGAATAGAATAAAATATGTGTGTCCTTACAGCTGGGATGTGTCATCAACAATAGAAACTTTTGTGATTATTTACTGTAAACGTCTGATCCATCACTTAAATGGGATGGG